CGGCAATTTTTGGACTACAAATCCCATCACCCCTGACCACTGCTCCTTCTAGCTAGGGATGATGGGAGTTGTAGTCCAACAATGGCTGGAGACCCAAGTCTGGGTAACACTGAGTTAGACAGCTGGGTGAGTTTGGCAGCAGGATGGAGAGGCCAGAGCAGGCAAAACCCTTCTCTTTGTGACCTATAGACAAGGATAACAAGTATCTAGGTAGAGAGTCAGTCAGGGTTTGGGGGTCTGTCCAGTGTACAGTTGGGAGTTGGGGGGGGTCAGTCTGTATAACTTCCTAAGTCTCTTTCAGTTAATGGATTCCTATACTTGTGGGGGTAGAAGGTACTAGAGCAAGCCTGCTCAACCAGCCCCTTTCTCGTGGCAAAGGTTGGGGCTGGCTAGTCAAGCACCATGATTAGCAAGATGAAAGAAGTTGGGAGAGGCAGAGGCAGGAGAGGAAGGAAGGAAGGAAGGAAGGAAGGAAGGAAGGAAGGAAGGAAGGAAGGAAGGAAGGAGCTGAGCTGGAAACAGGCTGGGAGTTGGAGCTGCAGAGACCTTGCTCTGTTCTGCATCCAAAGCTGTGTCTAATGGAGAAGCAAGATCTGTTGGGGGTGTTGATGCTGTGAGCTCCTCCATCTCTTGCTCAGGTTATAGGTAAGGTAAAGGGACCCCTGACCATTAGGTCCAGTCGTGGCCGACTCTGGGGTTGGGGCGCTCATCTCGCTTCATTGGCCGAGGGAGCCGGCGTACAGCTTCCGGGTCATGGGGCCATCATGACTAAGCCACTTCTGGCGAACCAGAGCAGCGCACGGAAACGCCGTTTTCCTTCCCGCCAGAGCGGTACCTATTTATCTACTTGCACTTTTGATGTGCTTTCGAACTGATAGGTTGGCAGGAGCAGGGACCGAGCCACAGGAGCTCACCCTGTCGTGGGGATTTGAACCGCTGACCTTCTGATCGGCAAGTCCTAGGCTCTGTGGTTTAACCCACAGCGCCACCCGCGTCCCACTGCTCAGGTTATACATATGTACAAATAAAACCATATTAGTTAGCTAGTCTATGGCCTGGGAAAAGAGGAATGTTTCTTCCTGGCACATTTTTGAAGCTTTTCCAACTCTACTGATTGTCCTTTTTGAGGTGAAGCGACCAGCAGGGGTACAGTGCTGCTCATTGGTGCCGTGGGGGTGCGCAGCACATTTGCCCTCGCCAACATCGCTGGGCAGGCGCTCACACACTGGCAGTGGGCAGGGAGAGGAGGGTACTCTTCACCCTCTGCTCTCACCAAGGCCAGGCTGGGGGGGCTGGAGGGACCTGGTTCAAACCCACCCACCCAAGATTCTGCACCCAGAGACACAGCTCCCTTGCCCCCCATCCTAAGCTGCTAGTCACCAGAACTGTACACCCTACTCCAGATGCTGCCACACCATAGATTTGTGCCATGGCATTATGATATCAGAAGTTTTATTTTCAATCGCTTTCTGGATGGCCCTTAGAATGCATTTTGCCTTTTCCGCAGCAGCCGAACGCTGGGTTGACATCTTCATTGAGCTATCCAAAACCCTGAGGTCTTGCTCCCGGTCAGTCGCATCCAGTTCACCAGAATCAGGATGGAATCATACTTCCGGTGCTTAATTATTATCATTTTTTAAAGGGTGTGGGTAGAAGAGTTTTTTTAATGCATTGCAAGGGGGAAGCTGAGAGGACCTGAGTCTGCCTTGGGATCGGTGCCCCCTCCTCCAAAGGAGGAAAGAATCTGTCATGTTAGAAGTCACATTCAGTCTGAAACACTTTAAAGCTTCAACTTTCACAATGTTGCGTTTAATGACAGGGAAGAAAAAAAGAGGCGAAAGAGGTTGTCTGTCAATGGCTTAAAATTTGTGAAGAGCAATAAAAAGAAAATGAAGAGTTAGCCTTCTCTGGCTAGAACAAGCGAGGCTGAGAGAGAGAGAGAGATGGGGGGAGGGGTTGTTTCTTGGGAATTTGAAAAACAGTAATAGTATTCTTTTCCTCTGCGGCTGCAGACATTTTGCTCAGTTAGGGTTATTCCTCCCATCATGCTGGTTATTTTAAAACAAACCCATGCATATAAGTAAATTGGTGGAATGGACAGGACTTTCCACCGCATGAACATCTGGGCTTAATCTGAAGAGCTTCCACATCAGAGGCATGTCATTAAAGCTGTTTTCACATTTAAAAATCAGCATAATTTTTTGGGTACAATCCAGCCAATGCAAAACACTTTGAAAACAGTTCAGGGATTTGGGTATGTTTAGCAAGGAGAAAAGAAGACTGAAAAGAGACATGGTAGCCACCTTCCAACATCTGAAGGGCTGCCACATGGAGGATGGAGCAAGCTTGGTTTCTCCTGTTCCAGAGGGTAGGATCCAAGCCCGTGGAGTCAAGTTACAAGGAGATTCCAATTACCGTATTTTTTGCATCATAACACTCACTTTTTTCCTCCTAGAAAGTAAGGGGAAATGTCTGTGCGTGTTATGGAGCGAATGCCTATGGATGACGGGGGGGATCTGCTGCAGTCGTGAGCAGAGGATCCATGGTTCCCCTTCCTTCCCTCCTCCATGGCTCGCTTTGCAACAGCAAAGCGGGAGAAGAGCCGCTGAGTGGGGAGGAGAGAGGGACAGAGAGCCTGCTTGCTTTAAAGGAGCAAAGCGGGAGAGGAGAGGAGCCTTCTCCCCTTAAACCCCTCTTCTGCATTATTAACAGCATCCTTCTCCACCCACCCCACACGTGTTCCTTCTCCCCTTAAACCCCTCATCTGCATTATTAACAGCATCCTTCTCCACCCACCCCACGCGTGTTCCTTGTCCCTTGAGTGCTTTTCCTTCCCTCCCCACTTAAAACGTGGTTACAAAGCACGGATCCACATGGATCCTCAGGATTTTTGCACTGGGTCACCCCAAATTCACCATCAGATCACATAGCATGTCCATGGCTACAGCTTGCACCAAAAAAATCACGCACCCACTGTTGCCTGGGGCCACAGTGATGCAAAAACGTGGTTACAAACATGGATCCACATGGATCCTCAGGATTTTTGCATTGGGCTACCCCAAACTCACCGTCACATCACATGTCTGTGGCCACAGCATGAACCACAAAAATCATACATCCACTGTTTTGTTTAGAATATTTTTTTTCTTGTTTTCCTCCTCTAAAAACTATGTGCGTGTTATGGTCGGGTGCATGTTATAGAGCGAAAAATACTGTACTTTCTGGTGGTTTGACAGTGGAACGGTCTCTCTCAGAAGGTGGTGAACTCTCCTTCCTTGGAGGAATTTAAACAGAGCTCAGGGGACAATCTGTCAAGGCTTCTCCAGCTGTAGTTCCTGCATTGCAGGGGGCTGGGTGGATTTTGGGGTCCCTCCTAATGCTAAAATTGTATGATTCATTGGAAGCTTTTAAAAAGAGGCTGGATGGCTAACTGTCAGATTCTTTAGCTGCAATTCCTGCATTCCAAAATACGGGACTAGATGACCCTCGATGGTCCCTTCTAGCTCTATAATTCTATCATTCTATGATCTCACAGAAGCTGAGTTTCTGAGCCTTCATGAAATGATGGGAGTGCATGTGTGGGCGGGGGGGGGGGCTGCTTTCTCCCTCCCGGTAGAAAAGGGGCCAGCAAGCATTTGCTTCTTCATTGGCAATTCCAAGAGACGGGGATGCGGAATCACAGTTTGAGTTTCACTTACTAATGCAAGTTTTGTGTTTTTTGGATGTTTTTATTGTTCTGCACAGAGAGGCTGGTGGGTCTCCAGTGTGCTGTTTGAGCAATGTAAAATGTGAACATTTATTAAAGACGACAATAAAAGCAATCCATGCAAGGAGAAGAACAGGCTTAAACAACACGCCAAGAGGACTCGGCTGCAAGTCATGGCAGTCTGCTCAGACAGCTCTACCCTGGGGAGAACCGCCCCCCCCCCAAAAAACCCCACACCCTGCCCCCCAGAGGAGAGACAAGCAGTACGGCTCTTCCCCCCACCCAGTCACCCAGTGACTTGCACACAGACATATCTTCAAGAGGCCCAGAGCCCTGCCACCAAAATCTTAGAAGCATAGAATGGAAGATTTGGAAGGGACCCCGAGGGTCATCCAGTCCAATCCCCCACGATGCAGGAATCTCAACTGGAGCACCCATGACAGATGGCCACCCAACCTCTGCTAAAAACCTCCAAGGAAGGAGAGTCCACCATCTCCTGAGGGAACCTGTTCCATCCTCGAACAGCTCTTACTGTCAGAAAGCTCTTCCCACTTTAGCTAATGGGGCCTCCCACTGCTGCCGCGCTGCCACCACCGCATGATTTCTGTTCTCATCCTGGGGCAAAGTTCTTAACCCGAGGTGTTAACTACTTCCGGGTTAGCGGAGTCTGTAACCCAAAGTGTTTGTAACCCGAGGTACCACTGTACTGGGTAGAGAATACTCCATTGATTGTTGCAAGGGGTCAGCAGTGTGAAATATATAAAAGGTAAAAGGTAAAGGTAAAGGACCGCTGGATGATTAGGTCCAGTCAAAGGTGACTATGGGGTTGCGGTGCTCATCTCACTTTCAGGCCAAGGGAGCCAGCATTTGTCTGCAGACAGCTTTCCAGGTCATGTGACCAGCAGGACTAAACTGCTTCTGGTGCAACGGGACACCGTGACAGAAACCAGAGCGCATGGAAATGCCATTTACCTTCCCACCACAGTGGTACCTATTTATCTACTTGCACTGGCATGCTTCCGAACTGCTAGGCTGGCAGGAGCTGGGACAGAGCAATGGGAGCTGATTCCGTCGCAGGGATTCGAACTGCCGACCCTCCGACTGGCAAGCCCAAGAGGCTCAGTGGTTGAGACCACAGCGCCACCAGCGTGGAATATTTAAAGTACAGTCAAACCAACAATTCCTGTTTTGCTAGACAGGCACATGATAGGGGCTGAAGCTCACAGAGTTTTCGTATAAACTTGCTAGAGAGATTTCAGTGAGAGACACTCCCACTGTGCCTTGACAAGGGGAGGGCAGAGCTATGTCCTCTTCTGCCTGCCTGGGCACATCATGTCTTTTTCGGCACTTTCCACCAAGCCAACAATGTGAGGACATTTGCATCTCTGAGCTCCAGTGCTCAGACACCATTTTAAGCTAGACTTAGTATGTCTTTAGTATTGCCATTTTAAGCCTGGCTGAACAAAACTGCTGTATCTGTTACTCTTCAACAAGTATTCTGAGTGAGTAAATGTTTTTGTTTTACCTTTTAGAAGACTGTGTGGTTGTTGTTTTAAGGGGGAGAAAAGGCTGACATGCCAGGAGAATCCAGTCTGCCTTAAAGCATACTGGAGCCAGTGTGGTGTAGTGGTTAAGAGTGGTAGATCTTGTAATCTGGGGAACCGGGTTCGCGTCTCCCATTCCTTCACATGCAGCTGCTGGGTGACCTTCGGCCAGTCACACTTCTCTGAAGTCTCTCAGCCCCACTCACCTCACAGAGTGTTTGCTGTGGGAGAGGAAGGGACAGGAGAATGTGAGCCGCTTTGAGACTCCTTAAAGGAAGTGAAAGGCGGGATATCAAATCCAAACTCTTCTTAAAGTCAGCCAACTTTTTCCACAGGGGGCCAGTCCATTGTCCCTCAGACCTTGTGGGGGGGCCAGACTATATTTGGGGGGGAACTCCCCCCGACTCTCCCCTCCCTTCTCCACAGCACCGGACGAGCCCCGGTGGCTGCTTCCCTGTGCCTTGCGAGCGGCAGGGGCTGGCGGTGGCGGCGGAGGGATGACGAGTGGCGTGAAAGGGCTGGCTCTGGAGAGGGGCTACTTAAATTGGCGCTCAGCCAACCATGGCTCAACAAAGCCCAGCCCCCTTCCTCCTCTAGGCAGGGCAGGGAGAAGCCGGGAGGAGGGAGGGAGGAGGCGCTGCTGTGGTGTGTGAGGAAGGGGGGGGGAATGGTGCAGCCCAAACGATCAGAATCCCAACGCCGATCCATGTGGTGATTCCCAGACTGTCCACGGGCCGGATCCAGAAAGCAATTGGGTCTGATCTGGGCCCCGGGCCTTAGTTTGCCTACCCATGACTTAAACTAAATAGCTGAAACTAGCCATTCACATTCCACCAAGTACAGCACCCTCGTTCTGGTGCTGCCTGTTGAGTGGCCCCCTTCAGCACCCCTCCAGCATCAGTTCACCTTCGCTGTGGGTCCTTGCTCCTCTGAGACCGCCTGCTTGCTTAGAGCCCTGGGATGGAGAATGGGATGTAAGTACCAGGAGGGAACGAGCCGAGCACCCAGGCAGCGTCACACGGCCCACCAGAAGTCCAGGCGCACGGGTGGTGACAGACATGACCGGGAGGATGCAAAGAGTGGGACCAGGCCAGAAGAGGAGTGGCCACCTGTGTCATCTCCAGAATCTGAAGCACTTAAGAGTTGCTGCCTTGATCTCAACGGATATCTGGCAATCAAATTCTGTACTTGCATCTCCAAATGGAATAGCTTGCTCTTTGCTGTAACCCTGAACGCTGCTGCAGCTCTGGGTATTTCTGCAGGGAATATCCCTGCTTGCTTGTAGGCCTGTTGCATCACACTCTTGCAAAGCTATTGCATGGCTTTATTCAGAAAGTAAAGTCTCTTCTATGGACCATTGCCTCACATTTTTATATCCTTGTTGTGTGTGCTATTACATTAATGTATGCTGGTTTTGGGTTTTTTTGTGTGTGAGTCGCATTGGGTTGCCCTGGGAGGGAAAGCAAATAACAAACAATAATGGTGGTGGTGTCAAAATTCATGGGATTGTTTTGGGCAGCAAATTAATTGAGCTCTAGAGCTTGTGGACATTCAGTGAAGCTGAATGTTGGAAGATTCAGCCCAGATAAAAAGGAAGTCCGTGCAGCACAGGAGGCAGTGATGTCCACCAAGCAAGATGGCTTTGAAAGAGGGTTGGACAAATTGATGGAGGAGGAGAGGACTATTGATGGCTGCCCTGGGTTTCTCTGCTCTGCTCTGCTCTCCACCGCTGGAGGCAGCCATGCTTCTGAGCACCAGTTACTTGAGGCCACAATGGGCTCCTGTTTGGCCCCTGTCAGAAGAAGATGCTGGATTAGCTGGGCCATGGTCCTGATCCAGCCTTGCCTTTGGTCCTCACACCTGCCTGCCCAAGGAAGTCTCAACCCCCAAGTCCACAACGCCACTTGCTGTCTGCTTGGATCCTGCCCTGACCCTTTCCTGCCAGCACACCCCCTTTTTCCTTTGGCTACTGAACCCCGCCCCCAGAACTGCCACAGGGCATCGCAAGGAATATCTGTTTTCTGAGGGTGGGTAAAGAGATTGGAGGCGGCAGTGAGGTGGAGGCTACAAATGCATTCATGCAGATTATTCATTTCCCCTTTTACGGTCACTCAGATCTTTGCAGATGATGGACTGGGAACATAGAAGTGATATCATGAAATGCAAATGACTATTAACGGGAGTAAATCAGGCTGGAATTATGCACAGCGCTGGCTTGATAATTTAAACAAGAACCTGTGGTTCTCTTTGAGAAGACAAATGTTTTACATGCACCTCTTCCATGGTGCAATTTGAGGGGAATGGCAGGATCCGGAATGCAAAATATTTACACTTGAAACAAGAACCAAAAGGATGTTCGAAAGTGTTAACATGGCAAAGCCCTGCCTAAGGTGATTAACTTTGCAGTGCCCGCATAATTAACATGGGTCTCCACTGATTCAAATTTAAATTTATTTCCACAATATATTGAAGTTGTTGGCTCATGTATTAAAATGGAGCTGTCTTTGAGAATCACAGTTTTTGCTATCAATGCTAAAAGAGGCTGGGATGTGTTTGTGTTCTGTGCTATGTGGTGTCACAAATGCTTCCCATGCTCCAAACAGCCGATTATGGATCTGCATGTGCCTCTGCCAAACCTCTCCCCACCCCAAAATAGCATGCCCAGAGAGGGGTGCTCATGTGTGTCATGAACCACCCAAGATGCCTGCAGGGTCACCAAGGCCATTCTGAGAAGACAGGTGTCCATCACAAAATCCCTAACAAAAACAAGTACTCACAGGAATTTGCTGAATGTCACAACTGTCATCTGACACTTCAAGAAGGAATTTATTCAAGAAGGAATAAATTCATTTGCTTGGAAATTGATTTGCACCTGAAAACACAGGTTGCTTCCTATTGGAGCCCAGCCATTTAGACTAGCCCAAACCAAGACCTTGGATTTTGGACATCTTGATCTTCCTAGATGTGCGCCATGCAGGGGTGAGGAACAGCTGTGCCTCCCATCAGATCTTGTGGGACTCAATTCCCAGCAGTCTCAGCAGATGGAGATCAGCCACGGATACTGATGGGGTTTAGAAGCAGCCCAGAAACATCTGAAGGGACACAGATGCTCCCCACCATTGGGGACACTTGGACACCATCTCTGTCCTTCTCTGCCCTTCCTCATTCTGCTCCCCAGGGCAACAGGGATGCCCTCCTGCTTCGCAGTTTGAGGACAAAAATGTAGGTAAGGATGGGAGTTCGTAAAGCAGGAATCACAGCTAAAGAATCCCAATAGACAGTGATCCAGCCTCTATTTAGAAGCCTCCAGTGAAGGAGAGTCCACAACCTCCCAAGGGAGACAATTCCGCTGTCAAATGGCTCTTACTGTCAGAAAGCTCTTCCTGGTGTTTAGTAGGAATCTCCTTTCCTGTCACTGGAAGCCATGAGTTTGGTGTGGGATTGTTGAGGGTGGCAGGAGAGGATATATTGATTATTAATATCCTTCCTAACTTGCACTAGCAAGTTTCTTCACTTAGCAGAGTGTATTCCCCTTCTTACGCAGCAGAAAACTGGTTGCAAACTGGTGTGAGCCTCTTAAAACAATAATCAATTCAATCTGGCTTGTCCAGATTGAGATATGTTCTGATATTCCTAGTAAGGCCCCTTTGATCCCTCCTAAAAGAATAAAGACACCACAGTCTTATTTATACGTAACAAAAAGTAGTTTTAGTCATGATCAGGCAGAGCAGAGTGTGATCCCTGAAGGCAGGCTTAAGGCTTAAAGTTACAAACAGGTTTACCCCATATAGGAGATAACCTGGGGGGCGGCTTGGCTGGCAACCAGCAGCACAGTCTACGTAAATCAGGGTGTTTGCAGGACGAAAAAGAAGATCAAAGAGAGGGAAGTGGCTGCGTGACTTGGCCTTTGACCAGGTCTGGAAAGGTCACACCCACCCACTAGTCCCATGCAAGAGGAAGGATGCTCCAGGCCAGGAGGAACAGGAAGTTTTGACTGTCCACTCTAGCAAAACAAGGAATGTTGTACTTGACTGCTCCCAGTGGATTACATCCCACATTTGGGTCATACCCTCCAGAGCAGGAGAAAACAAGTATGTTCCCTCTTCCATGTGACAGCTCTTGAGATATCTGAAGATGGCTCTCATATCTCCTCTCGCTCTCCTCTTTTCCAGGCTAAACATCTCCAACTCCCTCAACTGCTCCTCACAAGGCTTGCTTTCCAGACCCTTGATCATCTTGGCTGCCCTCCTTGGCACACCTTCCAGCTTCTCCATATCCTCCTCCAAGTGGGGTGCCCAGAACTGGACGTAGGAATCCAGGAGGGGGCTGAGCAAGGCAGCATACTGTGGGGTCTTTTCTCTCACTCTGTGACCTCACAAATCCTGTGCCAGAACTGCATTGCAGGAGGTTGGACTAAATGAAGCTTTGGGTCCCTTCCAACTCTGCAATTCTATGAATGCCTTCCTGGCTGGGGGCCACAGCAGACCCTCCTGTGAAGATGAAGCTGCGGCTTGTGGCAGGCAGGCCACACTCTCTAGCAAGTGTTCCTTCCATCTCCTGCCTTTCCAACTCCAAACCACTCAGAATGCCTGAACAGAATTGTGAGTGACTCTTTTTGAAATCTGAGGTCCCAGCTGAGCTTGGCTTAGAAAATTCAGTGGCCCCCAGCTGTGTGAGAGTGTGTGACAGAGAGGACAGAGAGACAGCTCCCGAAAAACAAAACCAGGAATCAGCACACCCTCGAGGACTGGCTTACAGTTAATAAGGTGCGAGGATATTGTGAGAAAACAGAAAGGTTTTCATTTTGCAACTCCCAAGTCTGAAAAGTTAAGCGGGATCCGTGCCTCTTTTGGCAGGATATGAAGGGACAAAACTCTTCAAAGCCCCTTTGCCTCCAGGCTGTTTTTCCCTTTGAATAGTGACATTATTTGGCAAGCCAGGAGGATACACAAAGACAA